AGCCTCTGGTCTTACAAAGTCAAAGAATAAAGTCGAGAACAAAAAGGTGGAAGTTGGGGGAGATTTTATTGGAAATGAGAAGAAAGGGAAGGGTTCTGGTTTTTCCAGGAAAGGAATCCAAAAAGTGGAATTTCCATGTGACCTTCTCTCCAGACCCTTTTATGGACAAGTGGAGCACAGGAATCGCTATTATTTAATGGCTGCCATCACAGGAGATCTATGGGTTTAAAATGACCTGTTGAAACTCAGGCTTCTAACCCAGTTACTCAGCATGTGGGGTTTCAAGGAAACTGGGATTTTAAAGAAAAACTGAATTGCATTTTAAGTTCCTGGAAACTGAGGAGCTTATAGGGTGGGGCTGAATTCCATGTTGCCTGAGAAAGTTCAATCTTTGTCCAAAGTTCTACTTTAATTCTTGTCACTGTGGCTGATCACGCAACTCTATGTCAGGCCCTTTCCTGGTTAGCTTCCTTATTCACAAACTAAACAATTTTTTTACACAAGGATCTCACTACTCAGACTCCCAAGTTGGTACTGGAAAAGGTATCCAGCAGCCGAGGTTCTTCATGGCTGACTGTCCTCAAACAGCCCTTCCAAAGTAAACAGCCTGAGCCGGGGTGGTGGTGCATGCTGTAGTCTCAGCAATGTGGAAGACCAAGGCAGGAGAACTGCAGCCTGTGCAACTTACCAAGACTGACTCAAAATAAAAGACGTAGCTTAGAGCAAAGGCCCTGGGTTCCATCCCTAGTGTAGGGGAAACGGGTTTGTAGGCAGGAAAAAAAGTATAAAATAAGGGCCTCATTGAGCTTTCTGGCTAAGCTTGACTAGAAAAAGTTAAAATTTTACTGTAGAAACCAGTTAACCAGGCAAAAGGGAGAGCTGACAGACACAAAGGGAGCCAAGTGCTCAAAACCAAGGTAGCTGCCCCTCATCCAGCTCCAATGTAACACAAAAGAAAACTCTTATTTGGTGTGCAAAAACACACATACATCTATATAGATATATATGTAGCCCCCTCTAGGTCACTATATTGCTGCACCAGACCACAGTCCTTGCCTTAATCACCAACCTTAAGTATCCCTGCCTGCAAGCTCCTTCTAATCAACCTATAAATCCCAGAGATAAGGCCCAGACAAGGACAATGAGAAAGGGGGAAAAAAAAGTTCACCAAAGGAATATGCATATAGACAATAGCACCCAAGTTGGGGTCTGGAGGCCTGGGACTATTCCATGATAATCCAGAGAGCCAATCAGGCTGCAACAAGTTCCAGGTATCAACCTGGGGGGAGGATTCCCCAAAACATAATAAAGCTGAGGACATAATAAAGCCCTGTGGGCATTCACCTTTCTTATGCCTCTGGCCCCAGTACAGGTCAGCTTTCTGTCTTCCCCTTTTCCTCTTTGCAGATAAAGTGTCTCCCTTCCTAAACTTGGTTCCTTTCCTTTCATTTATTACTGGTGCTCAGTTTACCATCTTGGCGAGCTGCTCAGAGAGCAAAGCAGTAGTGCAGTGCATAGCCCGGGAACCACACCAGTATCGCCAAAATAAAAATAAGGAGGCTTTGAACAGGCAGTGGCCTTTAAGGAGGTGCAAACACATATTTTATGTCCCTAGGGCACAATGGCCACCCCCCTTCTCCTCAGCCCAGATCAAGGACAGAATATCCAGATGCTGGCATCAGAAGATCAAGCCCAGTTTCATTTCTATAAGCAGGGAAAGGAGAAATCTAGGTCCAGGATGAAACAGGCCCTCACGTGTCTATTATCTCATTGTGTTCACTCCCCACATTTCTCCTTGCCATAAAAGGCCCTTACACCTGTATATGAGGAGATGATAATTTGAGGCAAATGGACCCCTACATCTCCTCAGAACTACTGATAGCTTTGAATAAATCCTTTTCCCTTTTACCAAAATTAACAGCCTCCTTTGATTTGGTCAACAGCAAGTAAATGAACCTGAGCATATAAGCCTAAGTGGCTGGGTGATGTCATCAGACTGACTCTGCAGGTGTTCCCACTGCCAAGATATGGAAGCCAACCAATCCTTATAGAGAAGTTTGCAGGTTTGCTGACTCCCATTGTGGAAAATGTTTTCAGGACTAGTCAGTCAGTAGGAGATATTGGAAGGATTTTATGAGGCAAAAATGGAAAGATACACAGTGAAAGATAGTGAATACAGGCCTGGGGTGGGGGTCTTAATGAGCTGGAACTGTTTCTATTTATGGGGCTTTGTGTGTTTTCAGGATGGATTACCTAGGATGTGTGTTCCTGTCTGTCAAATTACCCATCTGGCAGGCTATGTAAGAATGCAAACCACATTCATGTGTTTGAAGTTGAGATATGCTGTCCACTAACATTGCTAGTACTTCTATGAGGATGGAGGAAGCACAATTTATAAGAAAAAAAAGATCCAGGGCCAAAATTTGCAGGCTTACTGTGTCTTTAAAATCTTTAGAAAAAAAAATTTAGTGAGTTTCCTAGAAAAAGTCTTGAGTGACTTGTGTCCTGAAGCTGCAGTTTTTCTTAAAAGTGCAATTTTTAAATCCCTATTTCCTTGTCTCCTTTCTGCCCATTATGTTTTATTTTTAATAGCCTACCTTGGCTGGGGCTGTAGCTCTGCAGCAGAGTGCTCACATAGCACATATGAGGTCCCACGTTCAATTCTCTAGCAGAGCTAATACTGCCTACCTCACTAACATTTTGAGTCTCTGGTAGTTTGACAATTAAAGGCAATTATTTAAAAATATAAATACAAATATGAGCACTGAAAATGACTCTAAGTATCAACCCAATAGATCACTTTATCAGGGTCAATAAATACTTCATGAATTTATTACATGCATGCGTTTCATTTATATTTTTGCCATGTTCACAAGTCTTGACTAAAGAATCCTCTAAGCATAGTATCATGTAAGTGTCTATTTAATGGCCCTTTCACTGGGCTTTTGAGTTCTAGAGCTAAAGTATAGAGCCCCACAAGCAGAAATCTTGAGCTAATAAGGTCTCTTTCTGTTGGGCAGGCATCATTACCCAGATGTTGGTGACATTTTGCTCTGGGTGGGTCATAGCCCTGTAGGTCACCCATCACTGGCAGCTTTGACTCGCCCTTTGGTGAGATCACAATAACTTGTCACCCCTCTTCTTCCCATTTATCCCCTCCCAGACCGCGAAGGGGAAGTGAAAGAGGAACAACGAGCCCTCGTGGAGTGGGACAGAGCAGTGAGCACCCACATAGCCCTGAATACCCACCACGTACCCACCTGTGCTCCTCAGTTCAGGGTCCTAACATCATCCTATCTACTCCCTGCCTTGGTTATTCAAGTGCAACCAGCTGATGTTCTTTGCAAGCAGGAGTACCTGCCATTTCCCCAAGTCAGAACCATGACTGACAATTACTGAGCTCTTCTCTTCACCCACATAAATGGCAAAGTATGCTGTTAGGGCAGGGAGAGATTAAGGAATTTGCCTAAAGAGGCACAGCTAGCGGGCGGTCTAACTGGGACGTGAGCAGCAGCAGCAGCCTACTCTAGAAGCCAGCTGTCTTTAATCTTTCTACCATTCTTGCCACCTTAAGTTTTCTATGCCTCAATTTCTTCAAAATCAAAGTAATAGGAGTACCTCATTCAGAACGACATTGTGAAGATTAAAAGAAATAATAAGCAAAGTATTTAACGTGGTGCCTTGGTTAGGGCAAAATATCAATGGGTGTGAACAGCTATGGATAGCTGGTGGCTCTGCTGAAGCCTCAGTAATGGTACCCACTGGGAGCCTGCTCCTGGAGTTCAGCCCTAGCGCTGTGCCCTCCTGCCACTCTGAACCAGTGACAGCACAGATACTCTGCCCAGGACAGGGCCGCACAGGAAATATCCTTTTAGTTCCTCTCCCATGATTCCCTGTCTCCTCACTAAGGGACAAACCAAGGCACAGAAACACTTCCTTATCTCAGGTAATGACTAACTTTGAAAAGAGGAGCTTGGCTCATACTTCCACCCGTATTTCCTTTCTCAGACTCACATATGAGATGAAAATTAAAATACATGAATGGAAGACATAATTGAAAAACATATTCATGTCTTCGGCTTCATCTTTCTTCCCCATTTTTCTCTAGCTCCATCCTGTGAAAATTGCCAGGATGAAAATGTGTCCCTCATTAGTCATCCTCCACGATAGCCTCATGTTAAGCATGACACTAAAATTGCTCACACTTGCGTGTGTTAGGTGCACCACCCATTCCATTGTGCAATGCCAATCTCTGCCAGAAGCATGAACATTCAAGTTTCACTTTTGAAGGATGATGGCTCTTAGCCGCTATGTCTTTACAAATAGAATAGTGCACTTGTAGCTCTTAAGAAATCTTGTGCTGTACATTTTGTGGAAGACAGTCATCTGACTGTCCTCTGATTTTCTCCTGCAACGGAGTCATCTTCACAATCAAGAGATTACCCTGGCCTTCTGGGCTTATCTGGGGTGCAAATGAAACCTTAACTATATCCACAGAAAACGTTTAGCACCTCAGAGCCTTTGCAAGAAGAAAATAATGGTGGTTCCACTCTTCACTACTCTTGTCTTTCCTCCCTGTCACTACCACTGCCCTAGGTCAGGTGGGAAACTTTGGAGCACTCTGAACACACCTTGCTGCCATGTTTTAAAACATGGATCTAGCATAAAACCTCTTATCTGCTCCATTTTTGTACCTGATACCCTTTATTACAGTCACTACATATGCAAGACCTGCACTGTAGCCCATTCTACTTCCTGAGAGTGAGGCTGTCCCGTTCACCTGGCTACTCCCAGGTCCTATACTGACCTAGTCAGTAGCTATGAAATGCTTTGAATAAAATTACATATCCAGCACCCACGTGGCTTGGTGCTGGTATATTTAAGAAATACACTTCAGCTGACAGTAATAGTTAAAAATAAACTGCATTTTTATTTTAACATAGGAAATCCAAATATGCAATCCAAACCCAACTTACTAAAAATTTTGTTTTTTAGACAGGGTCTTGCTACATAGTCCAGGCTGGGCTTGAACTTATTATGTAACTCAGGTTAGCCTTGAGCTCAAGGTCCTCCTACCTCAGCCTCCTGGGTGCTGGGATTACAGCTTTCTTCTATTATTCATTTTTTCACACAACTACTCCAGCTTTGCCCTCCTAAATCCCTAAAGGGAGGCACAGGGAAACAGGATTGAAGATTTTAAGAGAAGAAATGTATGAATACTTGTGTTTTCATACTGTTAACCCATCACAGCTTTTGTTTTTTTCTTTTCTTTTTTTCTCAGTATTGGGAGTTGAACTTGGGATCTTGCGCTTTCGAGGCAGGTGCAGCACCACTAAGTTAAATCCCTAGCCCAAAACTTTTGCAAGGACATAAACTATTTGTGTGTGTGCATGCGTGTGTGCGGTACCAGGGATCGGACTCAGGACCCTGTGCTTGCAAGGCAGGCTTGGCATCACTGAGCTAAACCCCCGGCCCTCATCACAGCTTATGATAATAAGAGTTTGACTATCATGTGAATGGAGGGCCAGAGGCGAGCAATTTTCCCTGCAGCCAGTGAAACGACCTTGTGTGCTTTTCCTTGTGTTCCACAGCTGCAATTTGTGCCTCCTCTAAACCCTTTAGTGATGTACAACTGTTTTATGCTTCTTTGGGGAAGGAATTGCTTCTTAAATGCTCTCCTAAGAGGACTTTGCTGAAGGCAAAAAATTTTAAATTCATTCTGATATATTGGGTTCTACAGAGCTCTACTGCCATGGTTTGAGTAAGCGTTCTTCAAAGGCCCATTTGTCAAAAGCCTGGTCCCCCGAACAATGCATTAGGAGATGGTGAAATTTGCAAGAGGCACCCAGCCCAGTGGAACGTTTTTTTGTCACTGGTGACACAGAGGGGGTTGTGGGACCTTGGCCCCTTTCTCTTTTTTGCATCCTTGCCATGAAGGTGAACAGCTTTGCTCTCCCACATGCTCCCCAGGCCCAAAGCAACACGCCCGACCCTCATGAACTGACATTTCCAAAACTATCAGCCAAAATAAACCTGTTTCCTTTTTTGTTTGTTTTAGAGATAGGGTCCCCCTATATAGTTCATACCGGCCTTGAACTCACTATGTAGACCAGGCTGATCTTAAACTTGTGGTGATCCTCCTGCCTCAGCCTCTCAGGTGCTCAGATTATAGGTGTGACACATCATTCCTGGCACCTTTTCTTTGTACAGTGGACCCTTGGGTTATGAATTCAACTGGTTCCTGAGGGCTGGTTGTAACTAAGTCAATACAGCTGAGATCTGGATGTTTACCTGGGTATACACTATAAACAACAAGAGGTAAATGAATCTTCCATTAACCTAATTAACCCAAGCTGTTAGTATGTCAGGCCTGTCGTAACTTGAGGGCTCTCCGTATAAGCTGATTATCTCAGGTATTTATCACAGTAACAAAGCTAATATACCTGCCAAAACAAAACACAACAAAAACAAGAAAAATATTTCTTTGTTCATAACAAATGGGCCATTGTCTCTATTTCCCTCTTACAAACTCTCCTCTGGCATGCATGGACCTGGAATTCTGACCATAACACCATGTTGAATGTGCCTTTTGACTAGAATGAAATAGGGGTGTGGGACAGCCTAAGGAGCTTGAAGTAACTGACCCTGGCAGTATGGGACACTGGCATGCACGTCTCAGATACGATCCATGACAGTGGACTAAGTTATGTAGGGGCCAAGACTCTGCAGCACAAGCCTGCCCACTTTTGTGCTTTTCTGAAGTGACAGTTTCTCGGGCCAGGGATTTAGCTCAGTGGTTCCGCTGTCTGCCTCACAAGCACAAGGACCTGAGTTCAATCCCTGGCACCAAAAAAAAAAAAAAAAAAAAATTGAAGTGACAGTTTCCCTTGGATTTTCCTAGATTCTTTAAATTTAACACTTGAGTTAGGCATGGTGGTGCACATCTGTAAACCCAGCACTTGGGAGGCTAAGGCAGAAGGATTGCCAATAACTTGAGGCCATCCTGGGTTAGAGTGAGACCTTGTCTCAAAAAACCATGAAAATGCACAGCAAAAACCAACAAAATGAAGACAAAACTTACAGAATGGGAAAAAATTTGCCAACTATTCCTCAGACAAAAGGACTAATATCTAGAATATATAAGGAACTCAAAAAATTAGACTTCCCCCAAATTTAAAGACCTAATTTAAAAATGGGCATCTAAAAATGAATAGACACTTCTCTGATAAAGGAATACAATTGGCCGATAAATACATGACAAAATGTTTCACATCACTGGCCATTCAAGAAACGCAAATTAAAACACTGAGATTCCATCTCACCCCAGAAAGAATGGTTAACAAGAAATCAATAACAAATCCTGGCAAGGCTGCAGGAAGAGAAAGGGACCCTTCTTCATTGTTAATGGGAGTGTAGACTGGTGCAACCACTGTGGAAATCAGTACGGAGATTCCTTGAAAAACTAAAAATAGAAATTCCATTTGATCCAGCTATTCCCCTTCTAAGTATCTTCCCAAAAGAGATAAAAACATCATACCACAGTGATGTATGTATACCCATGTTTATAGACGTGCAATTCATAATAACTAGATTTTGGAAACAGCTTATATGCCCATCTACAGATGAACTAATACAGAAAGTGTGGTATTTATACTCAATGAAGTACTACTCTGCTATGATGATAAACTTGAGGCACTTGTAGGAAAATGGATGCACCCTGAAACCATATTTTTAAGTAAATCAGACACAAGCTTGAACACCACATGGTTTCCCTGATATGAAATAGTGGTAAGAAAGTTATTGAATCCTAAATATATTTCTGCTTTTTGTTTCTAGTTTCACTCCAATATGACATTAGGGATGACTTTGCAGGATTTCCATTTCTTTGGATATGTTAAGCTCTTTATTGTTGCTATGAGCGTGGTCTATTTTGAATTTTTTTAAAAAATTCCCAGAATAGGAAAATCTATAGAGATGGAGAGTAGCTCAGTAGTTGCCTAGATTTAAGGGGAAGAATTGAGAAATAGATAATAGCTAGTTGGTAGACTGTTTTGTTTTGGGGTAACAAAAGTGATCCAAATTTGATTGCTTTCATGGTTGTGTAACTCTGACAATGTGCTAAAATCTACTGAATGTTACACTTTAGATTTGTAAATTGTATGATATACAAATTCTAGTTTAATGAAACTGTTATTTTAAATTTAAAAAAACAAAAAGCCAGGAATGGTAGTGCACCTCTATAATCCCAGCACTAAGGAAGCTGAGGCAGGATAGCCACAATTTCATGGCCAACCTGGACTACATAGTGAGTTCAAGGCCAGCCTGAACAATAGAACAAGACTGTTTGAAAAACAAACAAGAAAAAAAAGTATATAAATTTAACATTTGAAAATACCGGTATACTTCAACTAGCCCAAGAGTGAATAGGGGAAAGGCGTTACTATATTTTGCTTCTGTCAGGGTCAAGAGAAAATGAGAAGTACTTGGGAACTTGGAAAGATTTCGGTGTGGAGTTAAAGTGAGAAAACTTTATAGTTTAAAAGGTGTGTTTGTGTACAGTAGAATGTAAAATTTAAGAGAAAGTGTTCAACACCAACACTCACCAAAATTTCCCTGTGTGAAACCAGCCTTTCTCTCTCCACCTGTGTCCATCACCATGAGCCTTGCATCCATGTTTCTGCCTTCCGTATCCATTCTTTCACTGCCATAACAAAGTACCTCAAAATTAATGGCTTAAAATAACAGCAACAACCAGTTATCATTAGAGGTCAGAATTCAAAAATGGCTCCTACCGGCAAAATATCCAGCCTCAGCCAGGCTCTATTCCTTCTAGAAAGTCTGAGGGAAAACTTGATTTCTCCTCTTGTCTGTCTTCCAGAGATGGCCTGTGTGGTTAACTCACAACTCTCTTCCATCTTCAAAACCAGAGGGCCGCATCTTCAAATCTCCCTCTCACTCAGACGCTCTGCCTACCTCCTTTCACTTTATAAAGTCACTGATGACTAGATTGGGCCCACCTGAATAATTCAAGGTACTTCTCCTGCTCAGGGTTTTTTAACTAACCACACCTGTACAGTCTCTTCTACATCAGGCAACATATTCACAGGTTCTGCCAATTAGAGCCTGAACACCCTCGTGGGACCGATATTCTGCTGGACATTCTGATGTTCTGTATTTTTCTGCCACACCGGCCTCAACCATCTACAACGAGATGGTGATATATAAAGCAACTCAAATGACTGGCTTTCCTCACCGACCCAGTGTTTCTGAGCATCAAAAAAGCTGAGCAAGTGCCCTTCTGGGACTACTACACAAAACTTTCTCCCTGCAAATGCTTTTCCTACTGACTTTTCTTACTTTGCCCTTTTCCTTTGTCATTAAAAATCCAATTTTTAGAGCCCTTTTTCACAACATGTCTCCTGCATGAAAACTTGCAATTATCTTCCAAACCATCAATCAAATATTCTCTCTCCTTTAAAACTCCACATTTTATTTCCCTTTGAATACTTGTATGTATAACGTATGGTGTATTTGTGTATATGTGTATGTATCCCTATATTCTAGAGGTGCATATATGTTTATGTATACTCTGATACATACATTTATATGATATGTATTTATGTATGGAATCTATATAAATATATGCAACATATGTAGTATAAAGTTTTGGTTTCTTCTGCATATGTTCTTTGATGTAGTTTTGGACATGTACCTCAGTAGTACAGTGCTTGCCTAGCATGCACAAGTCCCTGGGTTCAATCTTTAGCACTGCAGAAAAAAAATTCTTTCATGTGTGCTTTTTTCGTTACAACAATGTAAATTTGGCATGATTCTCCAATTTTAGACACAGGAGACAGACTAAGAGAGTTTAAGGTAATAGCCAAAGTCAGACCTTAACATCAACATCTTTTCTTCTAGTCCTGAGCCTTTGGTCCTCATATATTGGTATGTTTATGTCTTAGTTGCTTTCTCCCTGCTTAGACACACGACTTAGAGAATGAGAGGCTTATTTTGGCTTGTGTTTCAGCTCATGGTCAGGTGGCTCCAAGGCAGGATGGCATGGCACAGGGTCATGATGGAGGAACGGCTGCTTACCTCATGGTAGACAGGAAGCAGAGTGGAGAGAAGAGCCAGGGAGAGAGACGAACCCTTCCAGGCCACACCCCCAGTGACCCACCTCTTCGAACCAAGCCTCACCTCCTAACAGCAAGTCAGCGATGAGTCCCCATAATCCAATAACCACCCCCAAAACTCCACCTATGATGGCAAGAGGATTTAGGGAGACATCTACCTATAAACCATCACAGGTTGTTTTAACTCTCCCTGATTAAATGAAAATGAACTTACAAATGTGTCTTAATTTCCATAATTATTACAATTATGCTCAATAAATATTTCTTGAATAAACCGAGTCCTTCAAGATTTTGTGCTGTTGTGCAATGTAGCTGCCCACTTGAATACTGAATGTACCCTCCCACTTGGATACTAAATAGGTACTCTTTTGCCTTGTTACAGTAATTCACTTTAACATGAATTAACATCTCCTGAGGAATGGGCTACCTAGCGTTAGCAGTGGAAAAGATGACGTTAGTAAAATGTTCTTTGCTCTCCCTGTGCCCATAAGAGAAAAAAAGAAAATTGGTCAGGGTATGTCAGCTGAGTAAACCTCTGAAATGTAACAAAATTGTTATTCAAATGGACCAATTTCTTGGTTAATGAGAAATGACTCCATGGTGCCTCTTTAATACATTGGCTTAATTAACGAACTTGTAGAGTTATGACTACAAAGATACAAAACAACTCATTTGGTCAAATGTTTTAAACAATCAGTCAACTCAATGAATATCAATCAAGACATTTATTTGAATCAATTTGTTGTTGGATTGGCAAAAAATAAATTTTTTAGTCAAAATAGCTTACACGCATGTAAACTCAAAAAGTATTTGAAGGGAGAAGGTGAAGGGGATGCAAAAAGAACTAAGATGTACAGTGGGCCCTGAAGTTATGACCAGCCTGACATACAAACAACTTGAGTTAATTAATTAACGGAAGATTCATCTGCTTCTTGTTATCTATAGTGTGCACCCAGGTAAACATCCAGATCTCAGCTGTATTGACTTAGAACCAACTTGATTTACAACCAGCCCTCGGAAACTGACAAGTTTGAAAGCCAAAGGTCCATTGTATTATGTACATGTACCAGTTCCCTGTGATGAATGTAAATATTATATACTGTAAACACATACTAATAAACATAAAACTGTGTTTGAAAGACAAACACATTCACAGAAAATATCTTAAAAGTTACTGACATATTTTCAGGGTAAATATGGGGTCAGTTAACAGGTACATTTTTAGCTTCATTGAAAGGCACAGAGTTGACTTAACTTGATTTGGGGAATAAAATTTTGGTTTATGAAGTACTAATTTTTAAAAAATATACCAGTTTTACCATTTGAATTATTTTATGGATCTGATTGCTGGAACACACTGGATTGATCAGTCTGAGAATACAAGCACTACTGATACAAATATTTTTTAAATCCAGGAAAGCAAGTTAGCATGAACTCACTACTACAAGTTCACAGGGTGTTCTAGAACAAAAACGGTTATGACAAACTTAATTGGAGTAGAATTCATCAGAGTTGGTACTGTCCTTTCTTATTCTTCAACAAAGTGAGCCAGTTCCTACACAATTAGACATGTTACAGCCTCTGAAAATTGCCTGCCATACACAGATCATATTTGTCAAAGGAAAGAAATCTATCCTCCACGGTTCTTGTAAGGTATTCCAAATTTGCCAACTCAAATCAGTATTCAATGTGCTGTATATTCCTAAGTCACCTAGTTGAAACAATTTGAAGCAAAATATTTTCTTTACTCTGGCATAATGGGTCAAATGGCACATTTTAGAGTACAAAGTACTTAGCTGTATAGTACTTCATTCCCATGCTAGCATTCTCACAAGTGCTTTGCTTAAAGCGAGGTGTGCCATTGCAGGTAGCGACTAGACTGGTCTGCCCTGGTCAGGGGCCGTGCTAAACACAGTAAGGGCCTGGAAGCCTGCTCTAAGTGTCTTCCACCCAGTCCCCTGTGCCTGGCTGCCCCCTGCCCTGTTTTATTCTTCCCCGGCTATACCCAGAGCTTTCCAGAGCCCAGAGTTTGCTAGAATAGTCAAGTTGCATTACATTTTGTATTCTCTAGAGTCGAGCATGTGTTTTGTTTTTGTTTTTGTTTGGTACCAGGGATTGATCTGGGGAACTTGCACTTGCAAGGCAGGTGGCAGTACCACTGAGCTAATCCCTGGCCCAAAGCATGTGTTTTTTTAAGAACATGTGCCCTAGATTTTAGCCCTAAATGCACTTTAGGGGCGGAGGGAGCTCCTTTTTAGGAGCAGCATTTGAATTTCTAAGTCTCGGTAAGAGTCTGATCTTTTTGGATTAAACAGGAAGTGCTTTGCATGCTAAAAATTAGATTTTTGCTTTATTTTCAATTTTCCTACCTGTCTATTCCTTTCCAGGAATAATGTTAAAATGTTTTATTTTCTTATTGCTAAGATATCTTAAAAATGCACCTAGCACAGTAATTATAGGAAGAACCCGCAAATCTCCGTGGCAAATATCTGGATTCTCAAAAATTAGTATGGAACATATTTTCTTAAAAAACACAATACAGAGAAATTGTTCATTCACTCCTCTCTGGGACAGAGTAAAAGTTATTGACACCTCAGTTTGGAGAAGAGGGTAATAAAGGAGCTTAAAGGCGGTGTGGGCTTAGAGGCTGGATTGTCAGTTCAACTCACTTGCCAGCTAAGAGTTAATTCTCACACTCTCAGGTCTCAGCATAAGACAAATCAATTGACCAGTAAACTTTAAATGCTTGAAGTCAAAGATCAGCTGTGGTGTTGTTTGTTTTACACATCTATTATCCAAACAAGTTTTGCATTCCAGGAGAGCAGGGTCTGTATCTCCTTCCCTGAGGGCAGCAAGGGGGCTGCCTCCAGGTAAGGCTGTGGGTGAGTGCATAAATGGGTGTTTACTCAGATCCCAGGGTGAGAGTACCCAGCCGCTGTCTTACTGCTGCTGTTGTGAGATGTTTCTCTAGTTTTAACTCCAGAAAGCAGGCAAACTGGCAAGCTTCCAGGAACCTCTGTGCACTGAATGCCTAGTGAACAATAACACCATATGTAGAAAACCCACTGGAGGCCCCGAATGGACCTTTTCCAATCATAAGCTTCTTCCAATCGTGAGTTTTAACTAGAATGAAGTTCTGGATGCTGTGAACAGAGAGCAGACTCCTTAGGACATTCAGATAACCCTGTTGAAGCTGGACCGCTCAGCACCGCACGTGTTGTCAATAGGCATTGTGGTCCAGGCCCATGCCTGCGACTTAGGCTCCAGAAGGCACCTGAGGTAGGGCCTGGAGGGCAGGGAGGACAGAGAGAGGTGGCAAGGTGGGAAGAGAGACAGAGAGAGAAGGGTGGAGGGAAATGGGTAGTGTAGCATCAGTAGAGAGGTGCTTAGCCTGTGGGGTCTAGAGGAAGCTTCCTCTGAACGGTGAAGGAGAAGCTAAGAGTTACCTTGAGAGCAGAGAGGGAGAAGGGGATGTGGGGATGAGCCTGAGAGCCAGAACGCAGAGCCCCTGGTGACCATCAGGACTTTGTTCAGAAAGTTCTGGGCACCCCTGATGGGTCACCAGGAGAGCCCACTGCAGCTGTCTCAGTTGCCACGTGACCTCTGACTCCTCCTCTGATTTCTTTGTCCTCACCCTTCACCTCTGCGTGTTTCTTACACCTGCTGGTGTCCTCTTCCCCGCTTAACAAAGCACGATAAGCAAAAGCATCACCAGCTCAGACACTGGAGTCTCCTCCAGAGATGGGAAGTTACCACGGGAGAAAGGATCACAGCACTCAGGACACTGGGGTGAAAGCTGCCGAAACCCTCACCACTGCACTCGAGCTTGATGCCTGACAGCTGCGCTAATCTCGCTACGCTCCAAAGTGGAGAAAAGAAACGGAAGTTGCCTTACCTGACAACGGAGACAAGCAAGTAAGTCTTTCAGGACGCTGCTGTACTTCACCAATTACTTTGTTTTAGATCATCTTACCCATTCTGGAAGCAGTGAACTAATTGGAGGTTTGTGTTCCCATATCCTCTGGGGGTTGTTTTTGACCAAGGATGCGCCGAGAGCTCCAGTGGGGGCAGAACCTGGACTATGAATGATAGCAGGTGAGAAGGGACCACCAACTTCTCCCGCCCCACAGTCTCTTCCTCCTCGTGTGCTTCTCATGGAGCTGAAAGGAGCACCAGCTGCCTGAGGGTGGGTGAAATGCCAGGCTGATTTAAAAGTGTACCGGCATTCTGAGTAAGTTTCACTTTGCAGGTGTTACGAACAGACTTGTGCCTTCCTCCCCCAAATTCACCTGGGACCGGATTCAGAGACTGGGTCCATAAGCAGGTAACTGAGACAAACGAGGCCAAGCTGTCCCTATAAAAAGATGAAGAAACACAAGTATTCACTCTTCCTCTCTCCATCCCCCACCTTATTCTGAAGTGTTGCTCTCGTTTTATTTCTTGAAAGCAGGCAGACTTTCCAAGCTGACTTCTCTCTTCTCTCCTCCTCCTCCCTCCTTCCTCTCTCTCTCTCCAGAGAGGAAAGGTCTCCTGTGGGCATGTTGAGAAGTCACCATCTTGAAGTCAAGAAGACAGACCTCACCTGAAAACAATGATACAGGCACCTTGCTCTTGGACTTCTGGCTCCAGAACTCTGAGGAAATAAATTTCTGTTGTTTAAGATACCCACACTGTGACGTTTTGTTACGGCAGCCCTGTGTGAATAATATACCAAGATCACTGAGGCATTTAACCTAATATAGCCAGAATTCATTGAATCCAATCTTTACTCAAGGAGGCTAGGTATATTTACAGTTAGGCCCTTTTTTCTGAAACGAACGAAAACAAAACTTTTAAATTAACTGAATAGGAAACACACAGGCATAATAAAATGTTCATGGGTTTACATGGTGCCGTGGATTGAATTACATCCCCATGAAATTCCCATGTGGAAGCCTTAATCCCCAATGTGATAGACTTTGGAGATAAGGCTTTGGGAAGATAATCAAGTTTAGCTGTCAAGAAAGTAGAGACCTTGAGATGGGGTTAATGTTTTTACTGAGAAGAGTAGCTACGAAGCTGACTCTTGCTGTCTCGCTCCACCATGTGGGGGCACCTGAGAAGGTGGACATCTGAAAATTAGAAAGACAGCCCTCGAAAGGAACCTGACCATACTGGCACTCAGATCTGACACTTCAGCCTCCAGAATTTAGAGAAAATAATCTTTTATTAAGACACCAATCTGTGATATTCTGTTATGGAGGCCCTAGCTGAGATATAAAATTTGAGGAAGTTTTAAGCCTCTTTCTCTCACTTCAGACCCTCACTCCCGTAGTCCTTCTTTCCCAGAGGCAACCACTACAAATTATTACAATTAATATACTAGAATATAGATAGACAAGAAATGGATAGTGCTTTTTTTGTGAATGAGAATATTCTACATATATGGTCCTAAACTTTGCCTTTTTATCTACCAACTTTTCATGTAAACTCATTTCATAGTAAAGATGATATTTTAAAAGTTGTCACTTTGTATCATTTATGAGGAACTAGCATACTTGCTATAACCTGCTTTTGAAGGGATATTTCAATACACAATAATATAGATGTATATTCATCTTTGTCACATAGCCAAGTATATGTGTGAGGTAAATTCTTAGAAATGAAATTCTGGCTCAGAAGACCTTTTCTCTTTTAGATATTTTGTAGATAATGCCAAATTCAGCCATTCCATCAACTTTCAGAGGTACCAGGAGGCACTGAGTCAGCTGCTGGGCTGTACCTCTCTGTGATGTCATCATCCTAAGTCCTTCCTAAACAACCTCCATATGTCTAACGCCATGTTACTTCCTCCCAAATGTCATCTCACCTGACCTGAGGAGTAATCCTAGAATGCTGGCTGCCAGAGAAGTCACATTCTATGCTGAGCAGGCAGGTCTTCCTCTGTTATTACACATGACCTTGGAATCCTTTTCCTCTTCCACCTGACTGCCAAAGGGATGGTGACTGAAGTTTACAGATTCTGATTAGTTTGTTCCCAGGAAAGAAGAAAAGAGAAAAAGAATAAAGGGCTACACTTTACTACACCACACTAGAGAATGTCTTTAGATTTTTAAATTGACTTTGGAGAGTGGAGATTATTTTTTTTAAGAAAATGTCCAGTATCTTCATTAATGCTCTGAGCAGAGATAGACTATTTCACAAGATGACATTAGGTTTGCTCAGATGAGTCAAGGTATTTTACCTTTTTATTTTCTTTTTTTTTTTTGTCTTAGTGGAGGAGGAATTTAATAAGAAATGTTTGCTCTTGCAATCTCTACCCGAAGATTTTTCCAACTGGGTATTTTTCTTCTTAACAAAAGAAGATTCACTGGATAAATAATAAATCCTGATCAGTTCTTACTAGTGTCATAAGACATTTTCAGTTATTAGAAAATTGATTTGGGAATTCAAAGTATGGTACCAGGCAGTGACCCACGCCATGGGGGCTGCATGAGATCGTTCCAGGTGGGCCAGACAGTGGCTACTGCTGCTACTCCACGACGGTGGCACCATGGCGGATGAGGAGCTGGAGGCGCTGAGGAAGCAGAGGCTGGCCAAGCTGCAGGCAAAACATGGGGATCCTAAAGATGCAGCACAATAGGAAGCAAAGCACTGGGAAGCAGAAATGAGAAACAGTCATCTTAGCGCAGGTTCTGGATCAATCACCCCGGGCCAGGTTAAGTAACTTAGCCCTTGTAAAGCCTGAAAAAATGAAAGCAGTAGAGAATTACCTTATACAGATGGTAAAGTATGGACAGCTAAGTGGGAAGGTCTCAGAACAAGGTTTAATAGAAATCCTTGAAAAAGTAAGCCAACAAGCAGAAACAAAAACAACAGTTAAATTCGACAGAAGAAAAGTAATGGACTCTGATGAAGATGATGATTACTGAACTAAAAATGTTTTGAGACTGACACTTAATGGAACAATTTTAGGGCAAAAGTTAAAATCTGTTTAAATGTTTACTTTGTTTTGTCTATATACCTTTAAAAAAATAAACTTGTTATGCAAAGTATGGTACCACCAGATCAGTAGTTTACTAAAATCCATTCTAGTCCATTGAACAATCCACCATGGAGTCCCAGTTTCTTGGTGGAATTTGGAATTTAAAAATGAAGAAAAGAACTGAAGACCAGAGTCCATATCAGATTTCTCAGCAATGTTCTGTTTCCAGCTAATGGTAGGATGGAGAGACGCCTCCCATATTTCTATTCTCACCATCATTTCAGTGCGTTTACAGAATCCATTTAGAGCCTTCCCTATCCATATACAAAGCATTTAAAATAAACCACTAAAGGTGGTCTGGGTGTAATTCCACCATTTAATGATGTTTATTAAGGATTAATATTGAGAGAACTATAATACACAATAATAATAACAGAAAATATTTACAGGGGAGAAGAAACATACTGATTAAGACTGAAGGCTACATATAGGCTGCCTTGGTTTCAATTTGACTCTACCGATTCCTGCTTTTGTGATTTTGATCAAGTCACTTTGCCTTTTTGTAACCCGGTGTCCTTTTAATAACAATTCAATAAGTGTAGCCAATCTTTACAGGCTTTCTATGAGAATTTTAAAAAAATATTTCTATGGCTTTGGGTAATGTTTAATAAATATAAACCATATAACAAGCACAATTTGTCTAGTTCCCAGCCTCCTCAAGTTGAATCCTAGGTAAGAGTGTCATTATGGGGTTCCTACCCTAAATTTAAGATTCAACACTAAGGGAGATTTAGATCTCTCACTCAAGTGAAGCTATCTGTCTCAATGAGAACACCATGCATTGCTGACATGGTCACTGAGACACCCTGAGTTGGTTAGGGCTGCTATCACAAAGTACATGGGGAAGCTTATCAACAATAGCAGTTTTCTCACTGTTCTGGGGTCCTCAGACAGCTGGGTTCTGGAGAGAGGCCTCAAATGGTTTGTGGACAGCCCGCCTCTTATTCTACCCTCACATAACAGAATAAGCAAGCTAGCTCTCCGGCCTCTTTTTATAAGGGCACTATCTTAGTTACTTTCTTGTCACTGAGACACAATACTCAATACCTGGGAATTAAAAGAGGAAAGGTTTATTTGGACTCACAGTTTGTAGAGTTTTCAGTCCATAGTCTACTGGCACCAAGGCAAGAAAGCATGGCAGGGGAGCATGGTGGAGGAAAAGCTGCTCACCTCATGGCAGTAGGGAAGCAGAGTGTGAAGGGAGGAGCCAGCAGGGGAGATAGAAGGTCCCAGTCCACACCCACCCAGACCTTCACTTCTGACCAGGCCTTGCCTTGTAACAGCAAGTCAACTATGGCACACCCATGATCCAATCACTTGCCAAAAGCGCCCCTTGCTGAGTACAGGAGGCTTTGGGGGATAATTTATGTCTAATCCATAACAGGCACTAATTCTACTCATGAGGGCACCACCCTTAAGACGTAATTACTGCCCACAGACTTCATCTCTAAATTCCAGCTGAGCGTGGTGGCACACAGCTGTACTCCAGCACTTGGCAGACGCAAGAAGATTACTCCTGGGCTATATGGTGAGTTCAGTGAGACCCAGTCTCAAAAATCCAAAAATAGTAATAAAATAAAATAAACTCCACCACTTTTGGATTAGAGTTTCAACATATGAATTATGGGAAGGCAGACTTTCGGTCCGTTGCATACACGGCTCCTCCCATTTGTTTCACATACACACACACACACACACACACACACACACACGTTAAAACAGCTGTATCCCAGAAGTGGAGGGGTGTTGTGTCTGTCATGAATGTAAACTTAATTGGGAGAGTCAGAGAAGAGCCCAGAAATTTCTGCTCTTCTCTTTCTCCACCCTACCCATCACCAGTAGGGAATAAAAATTACAAGCACACTGGAAGGGTTCTGTTGATAGCAAGAAGAGAAACTCTCCTCAAAAGGATGTGGTGCACCCTACTCCAGTGTGGGGTGGGAGATCCAGCTGCATCTTGGTGGGTCAGCAGCATGGTGGAGCTGGGTGCGGGCTGAGCAGGTCCTGGCTAACAAAGCACAGCTGCCATTTAAGGAACTTCCTAGGGAAGAGGAACAGTGTTCATGGATGAGCAGCCAGAAAGGTGATTGCTCACTCTGGGTATCAGGCAGGCTAATCCCTCAACAATGGTGAGAGATCAATTCCCATAAAAGAACCAAGGTCAGCAAAACAGCATTTGACAAAAAAGAATAGGTGGTGGTGGGGGGACAACTAAAATGCATTAAATACTTGTAATTGTAATGCTAAAAGGAGTTCTAGAAGACAATTTTCAAAACCTAGTAGATTTGTAGAATTAACACACTGTGAGGCAGCTGTGACAGCAATGATCCTCCTGCTGAAGGCACCATCTCCACCTGCTTAGGAAATCATGGGTCTGGAAGGGCAGCTGCCAAGGACAGCTTTGTTAAGAGGAAAATGCAGAGTCACCTGCATGGTCCTCGCTTCCCTTCCAAATTTCAGCATGGTGCAAGGGAACCCCGGGATTTTACACATTATCATGATTCTGTGCAGGGCTTCGTCTACACACAGATAGAAAGTGAAGGCTGGGCATGGTGGTCCATGCCTATAATTCCAGGAATTGAGAGGCTAAAGCAGGAGATTTATTGTGAGTTGTTGGCCAGCCTGGGCTCCATATGAGGG